CATTTCTTTTTACCTTTGGAAGTAGAATGCATTTTAGGAAGTGAAATGTTAACTTGAGTAAAGTCTTAAGCAGTACTATGAAACTTATCCAGCCAGGTCTTAGTCGGAAGAATACTTTTTAGAATTAGGTAAGTATAAGGATCAAAGACAGAGATGACTGCCAACTGACAGGATAGTTGCTGCTAAGGTTCATACTTTATTTCAGTCAGAGGACATGTTCCACTATTATGAAATTCTAAAAAGTCTAGCTTAAAATTTAACTGGAACTCAAGGTTCAGTTGTTATTAAATACTGAATTAAATAAAATCTTAGGAAAATTTGGAAAAGAGGGCTCACCTAGTTAGATAATAATATATGTCTATTACTCAAAATCTAGGCTGATATTTAAACAAGCCCTTGCAAATTCAGGCAGAAATTACTTAATTATAGGATGGGGATAGAAGGGTTGATATGAAGACAAATGACTGGATTTTGAGTTAAATCAAGTTTCAAGATTAAAAAAGAGATGCTCACCTCAGAGAATGCTTAAAATTTTAGTTAAAAAAATAAAGTGGCCCTGGTTGGTGTGGCTCAGTTGGTTGGGCGTGTCCTGTGCACCGAGGGTTGCTGGTTCGATTCTGGGTCAGGGCACATTCAGGCTCAATCTCTAGTGGAGACAGCTGATTGATGTCTCACTACTCTCACACTGATGTTTCACTCTCTTTCTCTCCTTTTCTCATTATCTAAAAATTAATAAAAAATATTTAAAAAATAAAGTGAAAAGAGTGCATGCATTGATTACTTAATCTATTTGTGTACCTTAGGAATCTTGGATACAGAAATATTTGCTGAGTAAAAAAGATAGCAAAGTTGGGCAATGGAACAAGCAGAGCAATCACCATTGTGATTTATGACTTTATCAATTTTATGCTATGAAATTTGAAAGAGAGGAAAGAATATACAGTTCAATGATTTTGTAGATTTTGCCTTAGGACTGAAGAATACTTTTCCTATAAGATTGGAGCTTATAATTTAATGCATTTTTCTTAGTGCTTTCATAGTAGAAATACCATAAGTTAGGAAAAATCAACGAGTCTTCATGCTGAAGAGCAAAATAAAATAGACCTATTCAGTTACCATTGTCTGAGAGATTTGGGGATCTCTAGCTCTGACCTCATATAATTTGAGGTTAACATTTTGAAATGTATGAACCTTGAATTATTATGCAGACCAAGATGTTAATGTTTACATTTAAATAAATCCAAATGCTGCAGGAAAAGTTTTTGGCACTATGTATGTTTACTGTAGAAGTGGGTGCCTTTAGTATATTAGAAGATAATTTTATTTAAGAAAATTAGATTCATCTTCCTTTGAGAGTATACTGCTCAGTGCCCCAGGATATAAAATACAGGCATGGAGTATAAGAACAGCATGAATTTAGCTACAAAATTTATGGGAACTAGTTGGGATACATTAAAAGGCTGCTATAATATAGTCATGAAGACCTGGATGACCATCTGGCACTCCAAGTGTTACCAAGGCTGTAGGGGATGGCCTTGGAAGAAGAGAACCCCAGCACCTCCTAAAAGGCAGATTCTGTTGTGTTACTGCTATTATTGTGTTGCAAGCATTGAATGTGCATGTTACCAATATCTTCTATAAGTAATACAATGTGTTTACAATGCAGGATATTTCAACCACAAACCTCATGTCTCTTCATTAAAAACAAGAGAAAGACTACTCTGTTGATTGGCATAAAGTAAAGTAAGCATTTTTGTGTAGAAGGTAAATGGGGAAAAAAGGAGTCTTCGGGCCAAAGAAGCAAACCTGATAGGTTTGGTTAGACTCTCACAGTGCTGGTCCACTTTAAAAATTGAGTTAGTTGGCAACATTTAATATAATTAAAATGTATTTTTTAAATTAAATTATGATAGTCTCATCCACTTAGGGTTACTTACCTGACTCCTTGTAGCATTTGAATTGGTGACCCCAATTTTATGGAAAGAAAAATCTAATAATCCGTTGAAGAAAAAAATAGCAGAATTTTGGAAGATTATTTTTGCCTTGATAATCCTTGGATTACGCCTTGATACCAGTCTTTTTAAAAAATATATTTTTATTGAATTCAGAGAGAAAGGGAGAGGGAGAGAGAGGTAGAAACATCAATGATGAGAATCACTGATTGGTTGCCTCTTGCACGCCTGCTACTGGGGATTGAGCCCGCAACCAGGCATGTGCCCTTGACTGGAATTGAACCTGGGACCCTTCAGTCCGAAGGCCAGCACTCTATCCACTGAGCCAAACCAACTAGGGCTGATTCCAGTATTCTTATCAGATATAAAAATTACTGTTAGGCAATCATTATTAGGGATTTAATTTAGGAATAATAAAAAATATGCAGGTACACAGGCTGTGACTATTAACTATGAAGATTTATAGAATGTTTGAGATCACAGAGATAAAACTTGAATGGGACAAAATGACCCACATTGATGTCAAATGTTACATTTCAAAAGCAAAATCCAATACCATTTTAAAAGTTGAGTTTCTAGAACTTTAGAAGAGATATGTGATAACATTGAAGAAAATGAACACATTTTGATTAGTAAGATTATCTAACACAGATCAGTTGGTAGTAAAATACTTAGAAATTGTGAAAGCCCAAGACTTAGTACACATGCCTCCTCTCTCTTAAATATGTGGCAGAGAACATTTAGAAACTAGGAGTGAGAAGAGGGAGGAATTGAGAGATCTTGTTATCAAAACCTGCAAGAAGGATTATCCATGGATGCATTTGGAGTATATATTCCTTAAGACCTGTCACTTGTCAAGAAATATGTGTGACATGTAACTACTAAAATTATGAATTCTACTGCCAGACAGACCTATTTCCAGCTAGATTTGCTTTTCTTGATCTCTTGAGTTGATCTGAATATAAACAAGTATTGAGGTGGGATGCCACACGCACAGAATTTGTCAATAATGTGATACTTGAAAAACTGTACAAAAAGGAAGAGAAAAATGATGAAACTCAGGCTGGTGCCACTGGTTGGGGCCCAGATGACCAGGACATATGGGCCAGAACAAGAAGCATTATTATTGGCATGGAGGCTTCCTTTGAGCACTGCCCTCACCCTGACAAGTTGTGTTGGATTCCAAACAACAGGAGAGCCCCCAGCACTGTGAACTTAGTTCCTGAACCAAACTCCAAATTGCATCATGTTCTTCTGAGCTCTAGACATGCTATTCTCTTTGACTGAAATGCCTGCCCACCCCCTTTCTCCCTTTTCTATTGACTGCTTCTTGTTCATCATGGACATTTCAACTTAAATATTTCTACCTCTGGGAGTCCACTTGACCTCCCGAAGTTATGTGCCTTTTGTTTGTGTCCTCACAGTTCCCCCAGGACTTGAAAAGAACTGATCACACTGAATTGTACATCGCTCTAGAGCTCCATGAGGCCAAGTGCCAGGTCTGCCTTGCTCACTTCTGTACTTCTAATGTGGAGTATTTCCTCAGAAGATATTGGTTGGATGGTTGAATGAACTGCATCCCAGCCTATCTGCTTCTTAGCTCATTGGGAGCTCTCAGCTGTGGGACTGTAGTGTTTGTAGGTAGAGCATAGAAGCTGGCCAACAATGGTCTCGATGCCTAACAGAATTTCAAGCGTCAATTTTTGGGACAAGTAAACCAAAGGTTTGGTATGTGGCCTAGAACTTCTCAAAGACCGGCTGGAAAGAATGACATGGGAAAGAAGGATATGTGTGTGGAGAGGAAGAAGGAAGCTTGGTAATATCTCTTCAGGCAAAGAAGGGGTGATAACATCTTGACCAGAAACTGAGAATTGGAGACCAAAGGTCAGAGAATCTAAAAGGATGAAAGAAGAATTTCTTAGAGGAACTAACTCTACAATAGATCCATGGAGCTATCAGAGCCCCTTGTTCTGAGCATGAAGTCTGAGAAGGTATGCAGAATGAGTCGAGGTCAGTACATGTCTGTCAATTGGATGCCATTCTCTCCTTGACCTTGGAAAGCTTCTTTCTGCTAATAAAGCCATGGCTGATCCTGGGTAAGGCAGGCAGAGGCTTATCTAAGGATTATAGTCAGCAGACATCAGGGAGGGCTACCGGCGAATAAAGAGGAGAAAGACATCAAGAACTGACACCAATGTTCGCATTGCTTTTCCAGCATGGAAGCTGATCAGAACACAGCTGGTTGTCAAAAAGTACAGGTTTCAACCGCTCCTGTTCTTAAGGAGCATTGGTCTTTCTGCACCAGGAAACAGTGCAGTTAAAAGCCTTTCAAAGTCATCCCATGTTCTTCAGCATAGAGTCAAATTCCTCAATATGGCCTACAAATTTCATTACATTAGTCTCATCTTTGACCATGAATAGCCAGGCATTACAATGAAGGAATGAGTGGCCCAACCTAGAATGGACTGGGTTCTCTGCAATCAGAAGAATCTAGAAAAGGAGACTAACTCTAGCCTCATCCTTCAAACAAAGAAGAACCTGGAAAAACAGAATGAACCCTCTCAAGGGGAAAGGTGACAAGAGCCTCCTTCCTCTATCTCCAGCACCTGCTTAGGCTCTTCCAGCCTCTTTTGGGTCTGGGGACCCTGGGGTCTCATCCCTTCTTCTTTATTTTTAAGATTTTAAAATTGATTTTTAGAGAGAGAGGAAAGGAAAGAGATAAACATCAATCAGCTGCCTCTTGCACACCTCCCTATCAGGGATGGACCCCACAATCCCTGGCATGTGCCCTGACCAGAAATTGAACTGGCAACCTTTTGGTGCACAGGATGATGCCCAATCAACTGAGCCACACCAGCCAGGTCTCATCCCTTCTTAGTCTGAGCTGGGATGGGTAAGCTGTTTCTAGAATGGAGCAACTCTGGACCCCACTTGTCCCCTTACCCAAGGACATTCTAGTAATAAACCATTGGTAGAACTGACTCCAGGAGTGGATCCATTATCCCCTACATGGGTGATACCCTGAGGTTTGTCAGGCAGGGAAGTTACCTCCTCGGCCCTCACTGGCAGCTGGCTTCACTTGGATTGGACGGTTCATCTGAAAGACATCGGACCAACATACCCAGTCAGCATGACTGCCTGGCCCTTGGGCCTCCCGGCTTCTCCATCCCTGACTCCTCAGGATCTAAGCTCTGGCACCTTTGAACTCTGCACTCCACCTGTCTCACCTGGGATTATAGATTTTCTCCAAGATTCCTTCGAAAACCTGGGAATATACAAGGTGCTTAAAACCTGAAGGGTTGGGTGTTAGGAAGCTCAGTGGCAAGTGCAGGACAGATTGTGGAGGCTAATGAGATTCTCTTGCCTTGGGCTCTGGGCAGGGACCATGTGAGGCCTATCCCTCTGGCTCCTGGACTGCCTTAAAGGCTTTGGATGGGAGAGTAGAACTGATATTGCAGATTTGTGGCCTCAAATAGAATATAATTCTGTACCATTTAATTTAAACAATCTGGAACCAGACAGACTTAGAGCTGTCTATTCCCAACTCTGCCATTTAATGGTTGTATGATTTCCAGTAATCTACTTCCTGATTCAAGTTGTTAAATGGGGGAGAACCTTTACCAAGCTTTTGTGTCACCATAGTTTCTATGCCTCAGTCCCCTCCTGGGTCCCCCTTTCCCTGAGGATGTTAGAGTTCTTCAGGGCATCATCTTCGGCCCTGTTCATTCTGTTCCTCTCATTCTTCCTGGATAATCTCATCCACCCACCTATCTTCCGAGCTTCAGACCCACATGCCCAGCTGCTTGCTGGGCATCCACTAGAAAGTCTCACTGGCACCTTCCACTTGACACATCAAAACCAGAGTTCATCTTTTTGCTCAAATCTGATTCTTCCAGTCATCTAAGCTATAAGCCCAAAAAACAGCTTGACTCCTTCCTCCACCCCCTATCCTTCCAACCAATTTCTCCTTCTAATTCAGGGGTTCCCTGATCAGGGGTGGATAAAAATCACTTGGGAACCAAATCAGACTCTTAAGCTGGGGGATTTGTACAAGTTCTTAGGTGATGTAAATATACTCCATTCCACACATTCCCATCCCCCAATCACTCTGAGAGAATTCATGACTGAATCCCCACCTCACTTTCCTCTCATGGGTGTTGTGGATCACATGAAATAATGGGGACACAAAAGGTCATTGTAAATGTCCAAGAGCTGGGTGCATAGGGTGTGAGGAATTATTGTTGGGACAGACAGCTGATTGCCAGGAGGAAAGAACAGTGGCCTTCCAAGTCATGGTGAAGGAGTACTGATGCCTTCTCTGGCCTGAGAAGGTTATGATCTGGCTCCCTCCTCTCAGGACATGCACTATTTTTGCACCAATCAAGAGCCACTCCATCCTCTACCAATGTACTTGTTGCCCAGACAACAGGCAGCTTCCTGTTACCATAGCCACAAGTGCTACCCGGTAACCATGGTAATGCCCTGGCAGTCGCAGCTGAGCAATTTCCTTTGATAAAATTTGAAGATGGAGAGTGAGGAAGGCTTTTTTTTTTTTTTTTTTTTTTTTTGGAAAGGAAAACAGGCCAAGCCTCAATCAGTGCTATTACCCTCTCACCCAAAGCTCATGTTTTTATCTGCTCTGACACGCCCATCACTGGTGGTGGAGAACCCGCAGTGTAACACTGTGAGTGGGGACCAAGACACCAGCAGGACTCAGGCTGCAGTCTAGAGAGGGTGACAGATCAATCCAAGCAGATCAGGATGAGCTAGACAGGTCCGGACTGGCCTGGACCAGAGACCAGGAGGACAGGACCCGTTCTTGGCATGGCTACTTGTGATTGTGGAGGAGAGACCAAGAGATAGAAGAGTGGAGACATGAGAAGAGATGAAGAGAAATGGGAAGGCAGAAATCATGAGAAAGAGTAAGAGAGAGACCTAGAAAGGGGCAAGGGAAGAGAGAAATACTGATGGAGATGAGAAGGAAATGAGGGGACAAGGGGTCAGGAAGGAAAGGCAGGGAGGAGCATGGTAGGGGGAAAGGAAAGAGGAGAGAAGCTTAAATAAATATTGAGCATTTCTGTCTGGAGCATAGAGAAATGAACACATGTGACAGCAGCGGTTTCCACAGCAGCTGCCTCCCCAGGCTGGATTTCTGGGGACATAGAGCTCATCGGTGTTCTGGGGGATGCCCCTGCCCTCCTCTCCAACTTCCCTACTCTTTGATGGAGAGTGGGCATTAGGTGGTATGTACATGTCCTACAAGGACCAGAAGTGAGAAGCTGGGCAGCTAGGCTTTCCACCACTTGGACATGCTACTAGCATTTTCTGAACTCTGTGAAGATCCCCAGGCTGGGGCCTTTAGGGGAGACAGTGATGACCACAGGAACCCTATCCTCAAAGTCTCACAGAGGGGAACATAATGCCACCTTTTGCTGAGAGCCTAGTGTGCGCCAGGCCCTTCCTGGGGCATTTTACATACATCGTCTCTAAATTTCTTTCAACCACTATGCAAGGTAATACCATTGTCTCCATACTATAGACGAGAAAGCTGAAGGTGGGGAGGATAATCATATGTCTAAGGTCACATGGTGGGTAAGGAGTTGAGCTAAAATTTGCCCCCAGTTCTGTCTGACACTGAAGTCATTGATGATTATTGCATTGAGCTGCTGGACTCTGTTTTTCAGACATGAACACAAGAAAAGGGGCACAGAGGGACTGGAGCCCTAGGAGGAGTGCAAGGTAATGTGCTCTGGGAGAAGCTGACTCCAGGTGGAGAGGTTGACTCAGGGAAAACTTCATGGAGAAGGCAGAGCTGACCTGGGGGGTCATTTGCAGGACTGGAGTCATTGGGTCATGTGGAGATAATGGGAGAGATAGGGCGGCAAGCTGAGCACTCCAGATGCCTTTGGCATGGAGAGGGAGCTGCCAGCCTGAATAAGGAGCAAGGGTTCTGGTGGGCATGGAGGTAGCCAGCAGAGAACAAATTACTTTAGAGTCAGATAGACATAGATTTAAATCCTAGCTCAACCATTGTCAACTAAGTTCTCTGAGCCACATTAGTAAAAAAGGAAAATCATGACCATACTTTGCAGGGTTGTGGTGAAAATGACAATGGCTACGTCTTAGTAGGTGCATCAAATGTAATATGGGCTTCTTATTCTTTTCTTTTCTTTTTTTAGTGGGAGGGTATGAAACAAAGGTAGGCAGGGGCCACAACAGAACAGGTTTTGAAAACCATGATAAGGAATTTTGACTTTATTGTATTTCAAAGGCAATAAGGATCCAGGAAAGGATTTTAACTAGGGGAATAATCTTATGAAAGATCCCATGAGCTGTCACCATGCAGAGAAAAGATTTGAAAGGGAAGATTAGAGTAGAAAAACCAGTGTGATACAGGTAAGGGGGGAGGGTAACCTAGAGCAGGGCAGAAAGAAATGGACAGATTCAAGCGATGTTTCAGGAGAATTAACTGGACTAAAGTTCTAGCGGATGTGGGGATTGAGGGAAAGGAGAAAATGTTGGCTGACTCTCAGTTTATAGCTTAGTTTTTGGGGAAGTTGGCAGTTTGGAAGTTTGGAGGTGCAGGGGAAGTCTGCAGGAGAGTAGCACAAAAGCATGAGGACAAAATTGAGCTCTGGGCCTTCAGTTTCCACTGTGAACAGGTTAGGGAGGACACCCACAATTTAGGTGTAGTCTGTGTGGCTGAAGGAGAAAAAGGGTTGCCCACATAACTGCCTGGACAACCCTGCCCTGCCTTGTTCCTGCCACAACCAGGGGACAGACTTGGGAGTGGGATGAGATAATCATGGTTCCCCTTAGGAGAAAGGAAGGCTTTGCTTCCTTGGCCAAGAACTTCTCATGGGAATTCAAGTGAGCTCTTGAGCTTGGCTGAGCACCTATTCCCTTGATAGTGTCTTAGGTAGAGTCCAGGCTCATGTCTTCTTCAGAACCAGCCTTGGATGGGAAATAAAGAGAGAGGACATCAGAAAGAGAAGAGAACAACCTACTCCAGGCAGTGAAGTGGGGAAGGTTGGAGGCAGTACAGATAGGCATGATACCCTGGTCCTTTTGCCCCCATCAACAGAGAGAAGGCAACACTTTACCCCTTCTTTCTGCTTGACTTGCCTAAAATTCCTGCCTTTAGACTCAGCACTGCTCTCTTCAGACTCTTCTGTTCTGATGCCAAATCCTCCCTCCTTGTTTATCATAACTTTCCTGAAGAAGGGACCATTGGTGATTCTAAGAGAGGTATCATGGGTGCAGGGAAGGGTAACGCAGAGAAAAAGCAAACATCACTATTTTCAGCATGTTGTTCTACTTTATCCCCCTTCTCTAATTCAATTTACTACCAAGTCTCATTGGTTCTAGAATCTATATAGAGATCCTCAAGTTCCTCCTCTTCTCCCATTCCTGCCCTATTCCCAGCTCCAGGTTAGTGTCATCATTCATTTGCACTCAAGCAACAGTGTTCTAAAGGGTCATCCTGCCTCCAATGTTGCTCCCTTTCCAAACCAACCTTCACACTGTAGCCTGAGTGATCTTTTAAAACCAGTCCCTCACTCTCCCATGCTTAAAATCTTCCAAGAGTTCTCCATTGCAAACCTCCCAGTAAAGCCTGAGATCCCAATCCCAAGACCGGCAGTCAAAATGTGAGAGTCATGCCTGCCCTGCTGCACAAGATACACAATACTCACCATTCACATGGAGCCTTAGCCATCTATGCTGGACACCTTCCCTACCAGTTCTCACATTGACCCCAGAATTCCAGAAGTGGCCTTTGTCTTTAGGTTTCTAGATACTCAAATATGATTATACCAGAGGCCCAGTGCACAAATTTGTGCATGGGTGGGGTCCGGCTGGCCCACCCTAATCGGGCCTATCAGGCCAGGCTGGCCAGAGAGAGGAGCCACTGGCAGTTGGCAGGCCGGCACCACCCCCTGGTCCGACTCCTGGTTGAACTCCCTGTCGAGGGGACAATTTGCATATTAGCCTTTTATTATATAGTATCTGATCACTATTCAGCTCTGATAGCATCTCCTCTATGAAGCTTCTCCCTCTTCACTCCTGATGCTTCTTTTACACACTTAGATGTGAACCCCACGGAGATGCAATGAGTTACTTCTAGGCTTGAAGCTTTTTGAGGACAAAGGCTCTGACTCACTCACTGGGTGGCTGCTAGCACATAAATGCCTTTGTATGACTTAGAAAAAAATGTGTCCCATTCTCTGGATGACACATTTCTGTGCAAATGCACATAGCTTGGTCAGTAGAGCATGGCTGGATTTTAGCTCCTATCTGTCCTTTCCACTCAAGCTGTTTTGTGCAGGGCACAACCTGCAAAAGCAAATCTACTCAGTTATATCTGACTCCTTCACAGTGTTTGAAGGGTTGGATGCCCAAGGGAAAGAAGGTCATAAGCAGGGAGAGAGACAAATAAGAGGGCACCTTCTGAAGGTGGGGCAGAGGTTGGGCTTCACCTTCCTCAGGTACATTCTATTAGAGCCTAACCTGAGACTGAAAGAAGTGTTTCTAGCTTCATGGAGAAGGAGCTGCAGAAGATGGAACAGATGACTGAAGTCCGAAGGAAGCCAAGTTTTGATAGGTGACAAAAGTTAGCAGGTGGAAGGGAACCAAGGAGGGGTCCCAGATCAGCAATTACCCTAGGGGTTTCTCTTTGGAGCTGACCCAACATTTCCTGGTCACAGTGATAGTCCTGCCTGTCTCCAGGAGCCCAGATTAATCTTATTCCTGCCCTCCAGCAGATGGTAGCTATGCCCAAGACTTAGTACTTGCAGAGAAGCTGGGCACCTACCTCCCCCCATGCTGGTGTGCGTGAGGCCAGGTGACTAAAGCTGCCACTGCCCCTGGCAGGCCCAGAGGAAAGATTGATGGCACAGACATTGCTGGGGCTAGCCAACAAAGCCATTGATTTTCATTTAGGAGAATTAAATATTAATTTTCACTTTGTTAATCTAGGGAGGGTGAATAAAGCCAATTCCTGCAGTACCAGAGGAAGCCAGGCTATGTTGGAAGACTGCAGATGAAATAGTCGGAGGGGGCAGAAGTATTCAGTTACCAACCCCTCCAGAATCTTAGACTTCTGTCTATCACCACATTGGCTCAGGTAACGGAATGAATTCTGGAGCCAGACTAGCTAGCCTTAATGCCCAGATCTTCCTATTAGTAGCTGCATGACCTTGGGCAAGTCACTTGTTTTCTTTGTCCAATTTCACCTGTAAAATGGTAGTGCCAATAACAAAACCTTATTCATAGAGGATTAATGACTTTGAACATGTAAAGTTCTGGAATCAATAAATATTGCCTTCTTTATTTCTTTTTTTCTCCCCAAGAAATTATCCCAGTAGTCTTATATCAGGTGCCCTCAGTTCATAGAGTCCTCTAGGTATCCCTTATTTTATGGAGTCCTATGGCTCATTGAGGAGGGGTTTTATTCTCCCAAAGTCTATCTTAATTCTTTTCAGGGGCTTTCACTTGCTTTCAGGATAAAATCCAAACTCCTCAGCCTGGTATCCAAACTTTCCTCTTCAACCACTGCCCTCTGTGGATCTTCTCTGTGGCCAGGCCCATGCTCCCATGGGCCCTCCTCCATATTTCCAACCTCATTTTACACCCAGCCTGTTTCTTTTGTCTCTGCACCTTTACCCATACTGTTTCCTACATGAAATGTTAGTTTGCCTCAGTGATAATTCTAATTTGAGCAGCAGAAGTCATTTATTCCTGTGGTTGGATGAATGACTTCTACTACTCCTACTACTAATGCTGCCATTTTACTACTACTACCACTAGCTAACTATTGACTGCTTACTGTCTACCAAGTACTGTGTTAACTTAGTCTATTTAATTATTATAGCAGCCCTATGAGTTCAGTTTTATAGAGAGGAAGGTTAGGCTTAGAGAGATAAAGACTTGCTCCATGTTACAGAATTAGTGAATGGTGGCCCGGATTCACACCCAGGTCTGTCTAACTCCAGAGCCTGCATACAGAGGATTGGTGAGGGTGATATGTTGGCGTTACTTGACACTGAATCTTCAAAAGTGAGGCTCAAGTTGCTTCAATCACTAAGATTCTAGGATCTGACACCCCATTAACAGCTTGATCAGCTCTAGGCAAAGCTTGTCCCATTTCATGGCATATGCAATTCAAAGGGGTGACTTCTTTATACTGAACTGAAATTATTGTGTCTGTTCTTTATACCCCACTGATCCTAATCCTGGACCCTGGAGCCATATAAAAAACAAATCCCTCTTTAGAATCTGAAAATGGTTATCCCCACCCCTAATAGTAATGTTTATCAAGGTCCTACTCTGTGACAGGCTCTTGCTAAACTCGTTAATCCTCATGAAAACCTAGTGAACTAAGTGTTAGTATAACCGACTCCTTATACATGAGGAAATTGAAGTTCAAGAAGCTATGGAATGTATTCAGAGACACCAAACTGGTAAATGGCAGAGCTGGGATTCAAATCCAGGTCTTTGAGACTACAAAACTAGTACTCTTAATTATTATGTTATGATTCCTCCCTAATAAAGCTCCCCGACTAAACCCTATCTTCTCAGATAAATATCTCCAATTTCTTCAAACTATCATTCCATATATTAGTATATTTTATTTCCTATCATGGTCTCTTTATGGTAGGCTAATGACCCTCTTAAATCTGAAGCCTAGAACTGGACATAGTCCCAAGTTTGACCTGACTAGGGGCATTTCAGTAGTGCTTTTATTTTAGACACATCACTCCTTGGACAAGAGAAAATGAGGATGGGTACTATGACTACTGGATCTTGGTGAACCTATGCTAGTTCCTAAAAATCACCACTTTCTTCCTGCCACATGGTCAATAGATCCCACTTTGCCTTTTGGCCAGTGATTAGCCATTAGCCAAGGCCATGCTAGGTGCCACTGATATATAATGGCCCAGCTACCTTGTAGAATCATCTTTCTTAACTTTAGCCAAGTGTTTAAGGTATAGAGGGAAGGCAATCTTGGTGAGTCAAGGTATCCCCAAAAAATTACAGGAAGAGGACCAGAGGGACCTGCCATCAAAAATCCTAATACTGGAGAACATGGAATATCATTCCAGCAGAGCCTCTAAACCAGCAGTTCTCAACCTGTGGGTTGTGACCCCTTTGGCGGTCGAACGACCCTTTCACAGGGGTCGCCTAAGACCATCCTCCATATCAGATGTTTACATTACTATTCGTAACAGTAGCAACATTACAGTTATAAAGTAGCAACGAAAATAATTTTATTCCCTCCTGGGCAG